TGGTAACCTTGTGGTTAGGCTACCGGGCTCGTAATCGTGAGATTGCCGTTTTCGAGGGTTCGAGCCTCAGTTCGGTCTGACGTTGTGTCTTTGGGAAAGGCACTTTACACGAACTTCCCACTTGGCTCGGTCCGATCGGAGATGGACGTTAATCTAGCCTGGAGGTCCCGATCCTTAAATAACTTAATAGTGTTGACAGGGGCGTTAAACCCATACCATTTGTTAAATATATATATATATATATATTTATATAATAATATATAATATACTATATATATATACACATGTGTGTGAGGCATTGTGGTGTAATCAAGCTCTCGTCAATTTTTGGCTATGTAGAGTTATTGGTGTTATCTTAAAACTTGTTTACTTGTCTTTATTTGGAAGGAAAAAAATATCCATTTATATTGAATACAAGTTGAGAAATTATCACATGAAGGAGGTGGGGGTCACCTATTTTCAGAGGTAAAATTAGTGAGAATATGGCCGCCAAAGATCAGTATTTCCTTAGCTTAAAAATCCGTGGTTACTGAAAATTTGAATTCTTTGCGCCTTTAATAAAGGTTTTTCAGAAAAATCCACACAGAAATGAGTTCTTTAATGGGCAAGAAAGGTATTGAGCCAAAAAACAAAAATTTGATAAAAATTCACAAACCTGCGGAAAAATGCAAGTTTCTTCATTCATTTTGATTATTTTGACGAGAGCCTAATTCTACCACGCGGTGTCACTTATGCATAATATGTGCGTATGTGAATGACTTTGCAAATGTTCCGCGCAATTTACCGATCCGTACAATCTTAAAATCATTTTAACGATCGTATAAGTGTAAAAGTATTAAAATTAAAATTAAAATTGAAATTAAGATATGAAACTGAAGAGCTCACAAAAATGATACAATTGTACGATCGTTGAAACGCGCAGCGCAATCTTATGATTGCCGCGCAATTATACGATCGTTAAAAGACGCAGTCAAATCTGGATCTGCAAATTGCGCGAAACAAATACATGTATGCATGATATTATGTAAAGGGGCAAAAATCAAAGCAGAACACTTATCTGCTCTGTGGGGAGGGGGGGGGGGGAATAGGTTACACATACTTTAAAAAATCAAGCAAATTAAATAAATTATACATACCTTTTTCTTTCTTTCTACACTGCATAAAGGTAATGGGCCTACCACACATAGTTTCAATATTAGAGACCGATTTCCTTAAGGGGGGGAGCGACCCTTGATTTTGCAGATTTTGGGTCAGGCTATGCACATTTTATATTGGCTTATTTTTTAAGATAAACCTGTTTTTTGTCTAAAAATAGCATGGATACAGTTGAGAAATACTTCATTCTCCAGGTAAATTGCCTTTAAAAACATGGGGATGGATTAATATAGTGAATTTTCACAATTATTGTCGGTTTTCAAAAAATGTAATTTTTGTGCAGTTTTTTCCCTACTCCTTCCTTAGTTTTCATCCTTTTGACATGAAACTTTCAGGAAACATTGTTGGCACGGCTGCCATCAATGTAACAGAGAGATATTTGCGAAAAAAATAATACTTTTCCATTGGCAAGCAATTACGTAACCTAAACTTTTTTAAAAATTTTGTATACTTTGGGAAAATTCTCATATTTATTTTTCTTTTGCACTTATTGAAAAAACCTTGCTGTTACACTGATAGGGTCTGGTTCAGGTATACTCTCCCCGCATTTGGTCAAATTTAGTCTGTAAATAAGAAAGCCTTTGGGATTTGAAATCCATTGTTTATTTTCAAGATGGCGGCCGTTTCCATAGCAACCACTTTAGCTATGTCAAAATGAAATTGCGTATCAAGAGATATTACTATGTCTAACTTATATGTGTACTTAGATTTGATCTCGGGCAACAAACATAGAAAATGGTCCTCAAGGGTAGCTCCTCCCGTTAACAAAATGCAGATTACAGAATCTTAGCCTAAGCTTTATCCATGAGTCTTAACCCCGTTATATATAAGTTGATTGAGGAGCGCCCTCCTCCCATCGAACAATGTGGTGATCAACATGACTTTGACCTCTGACCTTTGAATTCAAGGGGGTCATCAAGGGGACCTGTTCTGAAGACGAGGACGACAAAAAAGGCCGTCACGAAGGAACTGAGGAGGATCCCAGAAGAATTCTCCCTGGCGTGCATGTGAGCGTGATGGAGAAGGATTGGAAAGTGCATTAGACTCCAGGTGGTCGGGGGAGGGGGGGAGGGAAGGGAAAATTCTAAAGGTGAACTTTGGGCTTGAAATAAATATTTTGTAACATCAGTGTTGGAACTTTTCTGACACACCTCGTATTGACAATTGACCATCGAAGTTTTAAATGTGAGCGGAACGAAAATATTAGCCAATTAGGAGTTTAAAAAATGGGTACTAGCTATACAAAGGTTGAGAAATTGGTTTAGTTGTTATTGTTTTTTTATATATTTCTCTACTTTCTCTGCCAGTTTGGAGCTTCTCATTTTATCCTGAAACATCTGTTCAAATCTCTTATTCTGCTCCACGGTGAAATATTCTTTCCAGTCCCCCATATTACCCTTGCGAAGATAACCGTGATGTTCATCTTTGAACATCTGTTTCATCAAAACCCCTCCATCTCCTTTCAAGACCTCCTTTTTCATGTTTTGAAACTTTGTGGCGTCTGCTATTTCCTTTGCCTTGTCCTCCGGTACATTCAGAAAGCGGCAAAATTCTTGTATCACTTCCGCTGGGCGCTCTTTGAGTTTCTCGAATTGGATGACGTATACCGGAAATTCTGGGTGCTCAGTGATAAATTGTTCTACAGCTAACACATGCTGGAACCAGGAGCCCCATACAAATTCTCCGCTCATCTGTGGAAGGTAATATGGGGAAAATGGGTCAGTTATGAACGTCATAATCTAAAATTATTCCTTATACGAATCGGAAATGCTCAAAATTGGCAGGCCAGAAGTCTAGAAATCTAGGCAAACTAATTAATTGGCTGCTCTGTTGAAGGTGTTTAGCAGACGTGGCTCGTGGGTCTGAAAAGTGGGCGTGCACAATTAAGCTATCTCAGGCTGAAGATAATCAAGGGCAGAGTAAATGGGATGGTATATACTTTAAGGATTTTTGGGTTGGTGAAAGAAGACCTTGTGCTTTTATTTTCATTCTTTTTTACTTGTGGCTTTGACTTCTAGAACTAAATCTGTTTGTTAGCTAAACATCAATTTCATTCATCCTTCATTGGAACTGAACACTCAAGTAATACCTTTCACCACTCCACTACAAAACCGCTCAAAAGCACAACTCATAGGACAGTGATTTAAGTATGTCACGTTCACCTCCTTCAGGTTTACGGTCATAGAGTCACTTAAAATAGCGACAAGACAATGAACCAATCACAATTCACTTGAGCACTCCGCTGGATTGCTCCGGGGCCCACATAATTTTGGCATGGAATAGTGCACAGTCTATGGCGTTTATTTTTAGATTGCCTACTGTGGACTATGTTTCGGCACTATTCGGCAGGAGCACATTTGAGTTGTGCCGTCTTATTAATATTAATGAACCGCCAAACTCTCTACGAGTGTCGTCATCGCTTGGGTAATCCCAAAGAGAGATTTATAGGTCAGGTTTCCACTGTTGACTATTCTGTTATGTTTAAATACAGCGCATGAACTTAGGCATGGCATAGTAGATGTTTTACGGCGCTATAGAATGGAAATGACACTTACCGGGCCAGCGAGGGCCTTGTTTTTATATAATATTTGGCTAGTGTTTGTTTCTGGCGTCTTTTATTTCATTATTGTGGGTGCTTTACGTCATAAAACATTAAAACATTTTGGGTGGCACTGCACGACCGTGCTCTATGGACGAACCGAGCCTGGTGTTTAGCAATAGGTTTATGGTACTGGTTAATACTGTCCCACCACTGTGGAAAGTAAAGTACGAGAGAGAGAGAGAGAGAGAGAGAGAGAGAGAGAGAGAGAGAGAGAGAGAGAGAGAGAGAGAGAGAGAGAGAGAGAGAGAGAGAGAAAGAGATAGAGACGGGGGGAGAGAGGGGGGACAGACAGGCAGAGAGAAGGGAATAAGAAAGAGAAAGAGAGAGAGCGAGAGATAAAGAGGGACAAACAGACAGGCACACAGGCAGACACACAGACAGATACAGGGAGAGACAGAGATAGAGATGGGATGGGTGGGAAAAGGGATTGGGGGGGGGGTGGTTGCGAAAAAAAAGAGAGGGAGGGAGATGAGTAGGTTACCTGTAGTTCAAAATATTCCTCCCAGCTGCCACAAAAATACATGTCCTCCGACTTGTAAGAGGTATACAGCTTGAAGTAGGAGACCCAAGCATCTTTGGGGTTCCGCAGGACGTAGACGAGACGAGGTTTCTTCTCAAATGCTTGTTTGGGCAGGAACTGAAACCAACGGTGTGAGGCAAGGACGCGAGGTGAGGGCAGAGTTGGGAAGGTATCACGGATAATATCCAGTCCCACAGTGTCCAAAAAATAGTCAGATAAGGTGCCATGCTCAAAGCGCGTATTTTGCTGAAGCGCCATTTTCACGATCTCGAAAACCCAATGGTTTCCAGAGCGGGGATACCCTGAAAAAATGACATCATCTGAACGAATTTCAAGATGACGTATAGCCTGCTGAAGTTTTTTTATATCTTCTCCCTTCTGGAATTGTGTGATGCGATGCCCGCAGTCAAACACTTCCGTGGCTATTTTTGAAAATTTATCTCGTGCTCTTTGAAGAGTTACATCCCTTTGTTGTGCCATGATGGAACTTTCTGGTCTTTGAATATACCACTAGTATCGTCTACTTTCTCTTAATGGTTCCTTTGGCCGTGTCTGAGCCTTAATCAAAACGCAGATATAGGTTACTGGATAAAGAATATAGATATCGAATGCACCTGTATTGTCTATTTTCAGAAATAATACCTCACTAGAGGAACAGCGGCAACTCACGACTTTTATAGAGATAACTCTCATACATTCCTCAATCATCTGTAAAAAAGTATTGATGTTTTATTGAAAATCCAAAGATGGCGTGATTAGAGAAGCAATCAAAAGCAGTGTGTTGCTCTGTTCTAACCACACTAACGCCTTAGCGTGGTTCAACAGATCAGCGTTTGAGAGGAGGTTTTCTCGCTAACTAAGACTACGTGACAATTCACTCAGGCTTCATTTAATGCAGGAATTTATCACAACACGTTGGCAAAATTCACTAGTCTGGATATTAATATTAACATTGTTAAACGTTTGGGGTTTTTTGTTATACATATTTTAAAAAGTGTGTTAGTGGGGATCCAACAAAGCATTGACAATGGGACAGATGTTGCCATTATCAGCAATCGTGAATATAACGGTCAGCTTTAAAAACACATGATGCCAAAGTGGGTCGAACGTAGGTCAGCATAAATTATTTTTGAAAGCGTCAATAGGGTATTGGCATTGTATTTTGCCTTAATGGGTATTTCTATAATAATATAATTTTGTGTCAAGATGATGGCTGTAAATGGGCTCCGCACCGACTCCACATGCTTGAGGTCATTTGATCATAATATTATGAACCCCACTTGTCAAGAGCACATCAACTCTTCATGAGCTCATACATATCACCACCCCCCCCCCCCCATAAACCCTAGGTGCACAATATCAGCCACTCTTGTACCCTATGTCAACATCTCTTGAGCTCTATATCAACCTCTCATGAACGCTGTATCAGCCTTTCATGAGCACTACCATACCGATCTCTAATAAGTCATGAACACTGTATCAACCTCTCATACACACTATCTCAACCTCCCATGACCCCTATATCAACCTCCCATGAACCCCATTTCAACCTCTCTTAAACGGTATATCAATCACACATGGATCCTATATCAGCTCTTAATGAGCACTACCATTTCAAAGCATAATAAGTCGTAGACACTATTTCAACGCTTCATAAACACCAGATCAATCTCTCATAAACACTGCAACACCCTCTCTTAAACCTTATATCAACCCCTCATGATCTATATAAATCACACTATATCAACTGCTCATAAGCAACTTCATCAACACTTTATAAATCACGAACACTACATGTATATTAACCCCTCATGAATCCTATATCAACCCTTCATGAACATTATTTCATCTTCTAATGGTCATGAACCCTATATCAACCCCTTGTGCGCACTACTAAATCAACCCCAAACGAGAACTTTATCAACCTTTAATGGAACATCCTCAAGTCATGAAACTTTTATCAACAATTCATGAGCACTATCATATCTATCCCAAATGTGTCATAAACATTATATCAATCCTTCATAAACCGTATCATATTCGTTCATGAGCATTACTATATCAACCCCTAATGAGTTATGTAAAGTTTCTTAAATTTATTCCCAATCGTATCACAAATGGGACTGTATGTGGATCATACTGGATCCTTTTCAAAACCGTACATTATCACGTTAAAGAAGGTAAAAAAAATACCGTTAATTATTAATAAATCATTTATTATTAATTAATGTAACTGTTAGCTTTACTCCTTTCTCAGAAAGCATTTTTAGAACCAGTTGGCACCAAATATTCATCATGGATCCTAATGTACATTTCAACAAAATTCTGTAAAAGGACACTGAATACTATGGATTCTCAAATCAAGCAGGACAATGGATTCTAAGTATCATAATTAAGATATCAAAAGTGCCTGGATATAGACTTTACAGGGAGAACAGGAGAAACGACGGGACACTTGTATGAGAACGTTACTTCGTATGTCAAAGTATCCGTTTCGAATTCTGTTCCAGTACATTACACCAACAGATATTCTCTCCCTCTCTCTCTCTCTCTCTCTCTCTCTCTCTCTCTCTCT